TATCTAACAGAGAACTTAGTTCTTTGGGGCTAGGACCAGATCTTACTGTGAGCTTGCAGGATTTTAAGGGACCCAGCCTACAGATGTTGCTACTAAACCAAAAATCAGCCCTGCCTGGGAGGGGAGGGGCACCTCAGCAGCTTGCAGGAGCAACTGGGTATTAATGTGGTGTAGGTTCTTCTAGCTGCTGCTTGTTGCTTTCTGTGGTTGTCTTTCTCAGCTGTCAGTTATTTGTGAAGAGGTAAAAAAGGTGATGGTTACTGCATCTACTCTAATATGAACGTATTAAACCCTCCTTTGTTTATGACTTAAAAAGCTGCTGTTCCTGGCTTGTTGTTTGGCTATCTGTGAGTAGCATGGGTTACCCTCGGTCTTTCTCCTCCATCTTTTCCTCCTACCATCTACACACTTCTGCCTTATGCACTTATTCTCTTGCTATAGCTTAGCACTGAAGCTCTTTTTTGTAAGACCTAGCTCAGTCCAGCTAGTGTAATAAAAATACTGTTCTTGCTTATATGCTGGGACAGTTTGGTGCAGTATATTTTAACTCCCCTGTTACATATCTTTTGGTACTGGTGTCTCCTACCTCATCGTAACTTCTGCATGGATACACTCATTTTGGTTTCATTCTTTCTTCGCTCATGTTCATCATCATATGGGAGATGGAGGGGAGTTTGCACTGGTCATCTAGCATTTGGTGCTTACTCCATTTTTCACATTTCTACTGTGAGAACTGTCTAACGCCAGTATCTTGCTTCTTTCTGGTCTGAGAAATCCATGGGAAAAGGCTTTGTGTTACTCTGTTCCCAGTCATTTTGAGCCATAAAGAGAAGCGGCATCCATTTCTCTTTAAGGTCACTGCGTGTACTGAGATTTTATGTTCCCCCCTCTATCTTCTGTTGCGTACACTCATTTCTTCTGCTTGTAAAACACTACCTGATGTGTGTGTCTACTTATTCTCCCCTCCCTTCATCTAAAATGAAAGCAGGATACTCGCTCAGACTATCATTTTTAGAAGCACTCGCTCTGAGAATGTTATCTGCCATATGAAATGGAGATTTGGAGGAGTTCTGTCTAGGGGAGTCTGGTTGAGGGAGGTGGCATAGGTAACAGTACCTTGCAGCATGGTGTTCAGAGGCTGGCTGGGAGACAAAGGTTGGTAAGATGTTTTGTTCCCCTTTTTAATATTTTTTACCAGCAATTCAACTTTAATGTTTCGTATCACTAGAATCATATCGGATTGTTCTGATTTCAGAGTCTGCAGGGAAGTGGGACAAGAACAGCTGAAGCTGTAAGATTTTCATGTTGCTTCTGAGATTTGTTTACAGTCTTGATTAAAATTGGTCGATATTAAAGAGTATGGAAGCTGCTTTCTCCTCCAAAATGCAGCTGAGTAATGCAGCCTTCCCCACCCTCCAAATAAGTAGAGCTAGACTGCAGAGAATCACCTTTTGTTTCCAGGTTTTGAAGCTGCCCCTTCTCAGCTACAAAACATTTTCTTTTTGTAATGCACAGGCCATTCGTTCGCCTCACTGCAGTGACCTGGTATCTGTGAAGGTGTTTCCTTTTGCACGCAGGCAGTTCTTTAGCATGTAGGTACACTGTGCCGTCATTTCTAAAGTTTAACTACCTGGGCACTGAATTCAGGCATGAGAGCCTGGACAGTAAAATATACGTCAAGAATCTGCACCAAACCCACAGGCTTATCAGTGTGGTGGAAAATGATCTCAAACCCTCACACTGAACAGGAGGGGAAAAAAGTGGGTCACAGAACAAAGTACACAGAGTGTGGGTTTGTAATGTAACGTTGGAAAAAGCTGCCTGAGTGCTGCAGCGCAGGACTGGGCGGACATAGTCCTGTGAACGTTTCTGCATGTACTAATTTTACATGTAAGTAACCTCACTGCAGCTGATGGGGATGTTAAAAGTAAAGCGTATGCCTACACTCCTGCAGCCCACGTGCTTCTTCCCCCTGTAGCTGACAGTGCCATGACTTGGCTGTGTTACTGGGAAAAAAGATGTGAGTCCCAAGAAGAGCAACAAAAAGAATTAAGGGGCTGGAGACTGAGTGAGGGGAAAGGTTGGGTCCTTGGTGATAAAGTGAGAGCTGAGACACTTTGCAAATGGTACAGAGAGAGAAGGGAGAGGGATTCTAGAGAGGTGGCACCATGGGAATTAGTGGAGGGAAGAGGAAATCAGACGTAACAAGTGAAATAAAGACCCAAATATTTCAGGGCTGATTTGCCACTGATAGCAGTTAGCTGGGGACCTGATATTTTCTTATTTGCAACATTTTTGTTCTGTTTCCTGTCAGTGTCTGACAGACCTAAAGGGCATTGCTTCTGCCTAGAAATGGACAAAATCATCCACAGTTTGCAGTAAGAAAAAGCATGTGCTGGCCTTTGTTGCAGGGGCTGGCAGGAGCCCCCCGAGTGTTTCCAGCTCTTCTGTCTGAAATATTTTCAAAGCACATATAAAATATCGGAGCCTTGAATTTCTTTCGGGAAGAATTTCTGTGTGATTGACTGGATTTTGCTAATACAGAGTAGAGGTAGCATTCTACAATGGGTTTGGAAATGTCTCCTTGGAATTCAGTGGCGATGAGATACAACCAGCACTGGCAAATCCAGGACTCTTCAGGAACCTGCAAAATGGAAGGGGCATCACTGATCAGGGCTCCAAGTTCATAGTTTTCTCTAGTGCAAAAAGAGATCAACAAAAGCAAAAGGGAATCAGGAAGGGGAGGCCCCCGAAACAGCTGCCAAAATGAGCACCAAGTGAAGAAATTCACTTTGCTGCAGACACCTTCCACGTTTCTGCTGCCAAAAGAGGAGAAGGATCTGACCTTCTCCTGCTACAGGCAGTGCTGCTCCGTGGGCAAGGGCAGCTCTGTTCCCAGGTAGTTCTTCATTTAGTTTTATTT